TCAAAATCCCCTCCCCATTAACTCTTTGAGGGACGGAGACATTTGGAATATTTCAAGGGCGACAAACACACAGGCAGGCAAGGCTGCCGGTATGGTTCTCTCGTTTCAGCAGTTGCGTAGAAGCAGGCTTTATCACACAACGTGTGATAGTACCAATTTACGACCGAAACGAATAAACGAATCGTAGAGAGGCTGGCTGACCTGTGGAGGAGGGAGTTGAACCCTCAAGCTTCTGCATGAGAACAGCACTACTTCCCACTGCGTCACATAGCTATATCGAACAACGTCTGCTTGAGTTAAGCTGGACAAGTATCCGATTAAGCCTTATATGATGAAAAAGCATCTAGATGAGGAGCAGCTTTAAAAAACTGTTTTAATTTTAGCCTTTATTTTCGTGTTGCTAGTGTGCCACTACTTCCGGACAGAATTTCACGGAGCGAATCAGTTGGACCTCCGGCTAATCTGCATTTCCCAGCTCCCGCAACTACTACGATTGCCTGAAGCTGCTACTGAAGCGCACGCTATTTCAAGTGCAGTGCTCATCAATCTGGATGATCCAACTGAATTTGTGAATTAATTCTTTGAATTTCAGTAATAGTTTGTAGGGTTTTTTAATAAAAAGAAAAATTTGGTTCGTTCTACAACTACTTTGAAAATTTTTTAATGTGAACATTCAGTTTTAAGATGAAGAATCTTTTGTTTTTTCCATTCTCCAAAGAATCAAGTCAGAAATATTCTTTCATGTATTCACTCGCTGCGAAAGGCATAGGCATTCAAAGGTAGCACGAGTGATAGCACATGTCAACTGCAACTAACATAATGGCAGGATCATCGATGGCTTTTTGATCCATAAGCTTATTCAAAAAGTCAAATCTTCAGATTTTTATTCACAATGGTGTTTATGACACTCAAAATTGTAAGCAAACATTCATTTTCATTTTGAGAAGCTGAGTGCTCTCGTAACGTGTTGCGTTCTGGTATGGGCCATTAGTCCGGACAGACTCTTACAGATCCGCTTACATCCGACAACGGTGCACCGAAAGTGATCTGGAATTATGTACTTTAGAAAAAGGATTTCGTTATCAATAGCCGATAAAAAGTATGAAAAGTTAAAGCAATACATTCTGATAACACTCGGAACACACACATATATGCAGATAGGGTCTCGACAATAAGCGTTTTGTGAAACTGTTGCAGCACAAGACGCATAAAAACCAAAAGTCTTGCGAACGAAGCTCTTTTAAAAATAAGCTTTGACCGGGAAGAAATGGAACAACACGTCAAAACGTAATGTGCTAAATTACTACAAAACCGGTCCCTACTATTGCTGAGCATTTTCATCTCCCATAAACTACTTTTTGAGTACGTGTTGGATTTTTGCGGGTATCCGTGACAAAGAGAGTACTTTTATAATTGCTAGGAAAGCCATTATCACTTCAGAGGGACAGCCTTGCCATGGCACGTTCGAGAAGAGATGAGGCGAACCAAATAAGAGGCCAGTCTTGGCTATGCTTAGCATGTTGATCTCAGTGGCACAATGGGTAAAATCGTCAACAAGATCACCAAGACAGTCGGACAATCGGTGTAGGCGTGGTATCTCAGGTTAAGTGATATTACTAGTATGCTCTTACTTGTTAAACGCAGCTACACAAGTCTCTTCGATTCTGGCTTTACTTTCATGCGTTTTATGCCGTAACAGGTGCACAAAGTGTATATCGTTTTTGTGTGCGTACATGCGTGTGGGTGCATTTGTGCACATTTGCGTTTATGTGGCTCAAGTGCATTTTGTCCGAGTTTCTGACTCAAAAACCAAAAAATTTGAAAATTTAAGAGTATATACCCTAAGCTTTCGCGTGCGACGAGGTCTCACATACAGTTATATCAAAGTTTCGGCAGAAAAATTGCTAACTCAGGAAATACACAAGCTTCTGGAAAGTAAGATTTTTCTCGTCCACGTACGATGCAAAGATTTTTAGTTCAGCTTCTAGTTAAGTCTAAATCTAACGCACAGGCAAGTGCTAACTTCGGAATCACAGAAATTAGAAAGCTAAAGTTTCATAAAGATGTTTCCTATTCTAGAATCAGCTAGAGCAGAACGGTGAATTTTTAGGAGGAGAGCCTTCGTGTGTCTCACACACAGAGATATTAAAGCTTTGGCCGGCCAGAAAATCCCGCGAATTTCATATAAGCAGTAAAGCCGTGAATATTTTTAACAGCATGTGTCCGCTGGACAGAGCTGCGCTAAACGCATGATCGCACTAATTATCCTAGAGCGCGCTGCTAATTTATTCTATTTAACACTCACCGCCTTTTCCAGTGTGGATGTTTTTTTAATCCGATAACGTAGAAATGAATGCTGTGCTGTGAGCTTCTGTAGGTGGAGGAGTTGATTTAACATATATTTTTTTGAAAAAAAGTACCACTCTTCCTTATGTTCCTTCCGCAGATTATTATTGTTATCAACGAGCTATGGAAATGTAAAACGCTTTAGATTTTCGTAAACAAAACTGACTTTTTTTTACCAAGTGCACTGCATTTGTATGTGCATTTAAAAAAGGAGCGGAGTCGAAAATCCTTCCACATTCTGCACATCTGTGTAAGTCATACTCCAGCAAGTGGTCCAGGTAATGGCGTTCGAGTATATGGCGATTATCAAATGTAGTACCACAATGAAGCCAATTACAACGATATTCTCCTCTCTTGTTGTGACTGTTAAGGTGCTTTCTGAAGCAGCCGAAGAGTTTGAATTTGAGTTCTTGGCTGCATACTCCACAAGTGAATCCTTTAAAACGAGTCGCTTCGCTACTTGTTGACGTCGAATCTGAATCGCCGACTTTGTCTGGGAACTGAGAAGCATCTACGGTAAAATTGCCTGAAAATGTAGTTGGAGGAGAAACCAGTCGAGAAGCTGGTGAATTTTGAGTCTGAAACCGCTGTGACCCAGTTAAGTCAGCTCTACAAATTTCAACGTGCTCCAAACCTGGAGAATTTAGAAGCTCGCTTCCCAGTTTTCCTGGTACTTTGTCTTCGGGCAACTTTGACTGGAAATTACAGCCAGATGGGCCACCGAGAAGCAAGTTTGATGCAATTCTGTCAACGATAAGGTTTTGCTGAGCGCTCGCCCCTGCTTCATTATCTCTGGCAAAGATTTGCGAGGAAAATAAATCTGATCCAGATTCATCATCGGCGGATGTTCGTGAGAAAAATGCACCCAGTCCATATTCATCACCGCCTGAATTTCGTGGTGAATCTGGAACAGATCTAGACCCCGTCTGAGTGGAAAAAAACGATGCAAAATTTCTAGCTGGAAAATCACTTCGGGGCAGTTTTACGTGATCGGTTTCATGTAGCTCCGTGGCGCAACTCTGAAACAGTTTGATATGCTGTGTCAGTGCCACGGTGTGAGAAGCAGCAGCTTCGAACTGGTTGCTTATCGGGTGTACACCTTTCATCGTAGCAGGTGGTTGCTGTTCTGTGAGCTGATCAAATACAGAGCCCGGACCGGTTCGTAATATTTTTCGTGATTTTGAGCCTCTTAAATCCCAGTAATTAGGACAAAAATCGAAGCTCGTAAAAGACACTGCCGTTCTGGCTGTAACAAAAGTGGTATCAGATCCAAAAGCCATATCAGTCAAATCAAATTTCATGATGCCTTGATCCGCATCTGCTTTCGTGCCTGAGCACAAATTTTGCTGGACATTTGATTTTGCGTCAGATGATAGGATAGGATTAGGGGTTTCGGCCAACCAGCCTACAGTGAAATGTTCCAGTTGCCTGGAAATCGGCATTCGCTCAGCTGCAACTACCGAATCAGTGTCATCAAGTTCTACAGTAGTCTGCTTTGCGCTTGAACTCCAGTTTAAACTCAAACTCTGACCATAGTCCGAGCGGATACCCGAAGTTTGACTGCAATTCACGGGGAAGTTCTGACCTTGGTCACAATCCGTGAGCAAGCTCAGGCTTGGATCAGAATCCGATTGTCGGCTCCAATCTTGTTCACAGTCCGAACTTGACCTTGAATCTTGAACACAACCCGGCCGTAGGCTCATACCGAAATAGTGACTCGAACCCTTGCTGTCGAATGATGAGGACGGATTCGAAACTTCATCCTGTTCAGGTAGCCATCCCCTAACGATTTGTTCCAGCTGACGGTAAATGCAGGGATTTTCAAGTTCAGTTTGCAAATCCATAAAATCCAGTTGCTTATCACCACACCCTCCACCTGGCCTCCAGCGTGGGAATGGAGTTAAACATGAATTTGCTAACCCACTGTTCATTAAAAGGTCTGAAATTGAAATTTCATCTTGTTCGGTCAGCCATTCTCTAATGAATTGCTCAAACTGACGATGGATGAAAGTTTCATTATAATTATTTAGCAAATATGTAGCGCCAACCCCGTCCAAACCTAATTTCTGCTGTGAGTTTGAAAAATGACCAGAATCCGATTCTCCGTTGTCGGATGGTAGAGTTAGATCTGAAGTCTCATGTTCTCCGATCGGTTGCTCTTCAGCAAATTGTTTCAGCTGACGATGAACACTGGTTTCTTCAAGTCCGCCTGGTAAGTCTAAATTATCGAATTTCTTGAAACCGTGTCCTCTGCCTGATCTGCGATAGGGATTTGAACTTGGAGTTGAATTCGACTCTCCGTTGTTAGCTGGCGGAGGCATATTCAAAGTCGTTTGCTTCCCAGTCAA